GGAGGAGGAGGAGGAGGAGGATGGGGGGCAATTGGAAAGGGAAATCAAAAGAAAGGGAATGTTGCCGATACGGAAATAACGTATAGATCTAGCGTAAAATGGGTATCACTTTGTAGGGCTGGTTTCAAAGTAACAGACATCAGCTTTATGAAGCTACAGCATGGGTTAGTATTATTGTCACGCCAGTTATGCGGTAGTAGTAGCCGACTCCTCTCCAGAAACCCCAGAAGCCTCAGCGTCGTTTGTGCCCTCCTCCACACCCTTACTACGACACAGGGGACATGAATTACGCCCCGTGGTGAGCCACTACGAGAAATTATCGTCAACAACAGGCTACAAAACGGAAGGGGCATTCCTGTTTCCCATTTTACCTTGGGCTAGTCAACATACCTCGTCAATACAATCCTTGTGAAATATATGGTGGCATTGAGCTAATTGCCGACATATCTCGTCATTTTCGAAATCGCTCAAGCAAACGAGGCATCTCTCGCCAGGATTCAGCTGAATAACTGTGGCACCCTCGCCAGTGTGTCCGGCTAAAGTTCCTTCGAGGCGCACCGCAAAAAGCCCCCCTGCTGATTCAACATCTTCTCTTGAAGCAACCGGGGGCTTCACTGGTGCGATCAAGGACGAGAGTAGCATCATGTCCTCGTAGGTCGGAGTCTAAACTGAGATCAGACATGCTGCTTTCCCAATGAATCGCGGATGAAGGGTGGACTTACATCGGTGAACAACGATGGCGTTGTCAGGATAGGATGGTTTTCTGGATAGCTTCCGCCCAATACATATATTATCCAGCTTCGGGTCCCCTCATTTTGGTGGCGAGATGAATCAGGACTTGTTGATCGGGAATTGTGATTGGAAAGCTGCGAAGGGGAATATCGCTGAGATTCATTGGAAGATGCGCTGTTTGTGGTCCATTCGGAGCCTTCATTGGCCACAGCAGACATATCAGGGGAGGGGTTACTAAGGTGTTCTCGTTGTCGTAAGGACCGAGAGTCTCTGCGGCCGAGCGGCTCGGCAGGCGGTACTGAGGATGAGCCCGTTAAACCAACGACATAGTTGTCATTTTCGCTGGCGTTTTCGACTGACGGGGATGTAAAAGGCTGGTTACCAATTCTTCCCTGCAACGGAACAACTTCGTCTCCAAATGATGACGACGACGACGATAATGCGTCTAGGAATGGCGGTGAAGGGCGGCCTTCGCGTGTGTTGGCTTCACGAGGATTAACCGATCGTATCCCTACTATTATCACCGGGATCATCCGGATCGTTTGATCTGGTGACGCTGTAGGGGAGATAGGCGCATCTGAGGTAGGTCCGAATCGAAACATCCGAAAGAAATTCAAAGGGCCGATAGATCCAGTTGATATGATGTCGTCTGAGGTATCTGTCCCCAGCGAATCCGTAGACCCCCCGCCGTTTCTAAGTGCCGATGCTAGTCGGCCATTTTGTAGAGCCCGAAGGAAGGATTCGAAGCTACCATCAACACTATCACCAGAAACGTCCCTAGCATCCGAGAAAGCATTGCTGTTGTTGCTACCAACCAAGGAAGCGGCGGTCGCTGCAGCTGCGACTGATAGCAGCCTCGAAAGCACGGCGGCCTGGTCCTCCCCTGATCGGCCGAGGCGCGAGGAATTGGATGAAGTGCTCCCACGGGAATCGCGAGGGCCTCTGTGAAGGTTCGATCGGGTTTGGCTTGAGCTTGGGAAGTGGGAAGGGATTGTTGGTTCAGGTATAGGGAAGTTCTCTGAAGTTGTAGCTTCAGGGCTGTCCATCTCAGGGTTGATTCTGAGAGGCCTGAGGTGACGGCCGCCAACCATGTTTCGTCTCGCATCATATATTCCATCAAATGCGTCCCTTCCCGTGGGATGGCCACCGGATTGAGATAGGCCACCCGCATTTTCGGCGGGAAGTCGATAGTTTAGTGAGGGTTCGTGGAGTACATCGAGATCCGGTTCTTGTGTCTCATGTGCTCGCATGGGATGAGAATGGGAAAGGTCCAAAGAACCCGTTTGCCGCGATGGAGAAAACGGGACGGACCCTATTCGTGAGCCGATCATTGAAAAAGGCCTGTCGCGCCTGGTATTTTCGGTGGGGTTTGTATTAATGGACCTCCGCCTGTGGAGAAGACTAGGCCGTATGCGTGAAAGCCTCACACGTGGTGGTGCTGTCGAGTTTTCTGGAGGCGGGTCATCATTGGCTGTACTGGATGGAGGTGTGCTGTCCCTAAGGGAAACATGATCGGTCGAAATGCTAGAGGATACAAATCTTGAAATGCGTCGTCGGATTCGGCTGCTTCTTCGAGAGTCAACGCTGTCGGGATCGGGTGAGAATGAGCGGCGGCGTGAATGGGGAAAGGTACTACCGATAGCGCCCGATGAATAGGAAGGCTCAATGTCCCTAGTACCGGAGGGTGCCATGTCGTGGCCGGATGGAGAAGACGGCTGCGGTTGTAAAGCTCCGGGGATTGGACATCGCGTCGATGAGGCGCCCTGGCCCATCGCACCAAGTGGTTGGCGCGGAGAGTCCAGAGGTGTTTGCGGGGGAGCGTCTGGCAAACCTCTGGCGAGGTTCTCGAGGGCCAAAGTAAATGTAGTTTCCAAGTCGGGTACAGGAAGGTATAATGAAGCTGATCTAGGTCCCGAGCATCCGAGACACGATTATGGTTGCTGAAATATGACGTCGGGGGGAACAAAGGTGAATTTTTTGGATTTGGGTCCGAAAAATGGCTAGAGATGATTCTGAGATGATATATATGACTACTAGTAGATAGTGATAGAAGAAGCGGATATGGAGGTTGGAGGCGGATAGAAGAGAAGAGAGAAGAGATGAAGAGGGGTGTCAGTTCGTTAGACGGCCAGTTATGAGACGACTATGGTACGGAGTTTGATGTTAGATATCATTTGCAATATGAAGCAAGTCGAGGAGTTAGAGTCGGCCGTGCAGGAGCGGTGGAAAGTAGTATAGGTAGTTGGAATTAAGGCTGGTGGTCGTCGTCGCGGATTTAGTAATAGCCAGGTGAGGATAAATCGAGTCGGTCGTTGCAACGTTGACAGTGGCGGCTGACGTAAATTTACGGAGGATAGACGGGAGGGAAACGATGACGAGGAGCAAACGTTAACAGCCTTAGGAGCCCCGATGACTACACAGCAAAGCCAGTTGGTGACGATGAAAACACTAAGGATAAGTACCTAGGTATATAAGTAGTGATGATGGTGATGGTGATGGTGATGACAGTGGTGGTAACGCCAGAGGAGGTGGTGAGGATGAGGAAGGTGTTGTTGGTTGTGGATGAGTGTTGAGTGGAGGACGGTATGAATGGAAACTGACGACCTAGGTACCTCAGTACTTAAGTAGGTATCTAGGTAATTAGGTACTGACTTACCTACCTTGGTAGTTACCGAGTGATGGGTGGGTCTGGTAACTAGTGGGTCGGGAGAAGAAGGAAGATAAACGGAGGAAGGAAAGGGGCTTGTTGAGCAACACAACACCACAACACCACAACACCACAACTACAACACACGACGTATTACTAAGCTAGTTTAGTGTCGAGACCAGTCTCATAACACGCAACACGCAGCACACCATCGTCATCGTCATTCTTCTTTTCCTTAGCTTAGTCTCGTATCCAGACGGTGTGCTTCTCCAAGGAGTCTGGTGGCTTTAGAACCCTTTGTATGAACTAGACTATTACCAAATGTCAACTGCCAGTTGCAGTGCTCTTTAGAGACGTCTTCTGTAGTCAAACCACCCAGCCAAATTATGGATCGATCAACTATTCAATCAATCTAATGGAGACATGCCAATATGGACTATGGACGGATAGATGAATATGAATATAAAATTAACCAAGTGCCTAAGTATATATAAAAACTACAAGGACATTCGATCTAGACTTAGCCGGTCGAGGGATCTGTGTCGCCTATTCCATAGATATTCGTCAGTCCCAAAAAAGTTCAAGTATTATCTCAACTAGGTCCTAGATAATAACCTACACGGGCTGCAGCTGGTAGAACCGTGCTTGTCCATCCCCCGCCCTACCACCAATCCACCACTTCTCCCCCGTCCCACCATTCATGGCGCCATCGGTCGAGCTGGACGAGCTCCTACGCCGTCGCGTCGGCGAATGCTGTCGAGTGTTGGAGATGGACTGCGGAGGGCTCTGCTGCGGTGTTGTTGTGGCCCCGTGCTGGGCGGCTGTCGAACATGGAAGGGCTGATCTTGTCGGGGATACTATCGTGCTATTGCTGGTAGCAGCCGAAGCAGATGCCGTAGAGACAGGCGCTGACGGTTTCTGTAAGGCTGAGTGAGCCCGGAATGCCACAAACAGACTGGCAAGAAAGGGTCGATTCGAGGGCATGGCATGCGCCTTTGTCTTTGCCTATATATTCACTCTTTCTATACGATTATCTTGCACCTCTTCCCTTGGCTCCAGCAGGTTATACCGGATCGAGAGATGTAATCGCTCAGGCGGCGGTATGTATGATATGCTGGTTCGGACGCTGAAAAATGAGAGAAGGTATTTAAAAGTGATCTCGTGACAAAATTGTGGTTTGAGAGTCCAAGCCGCGAATTCAAGATTAAGCCATATCCTTGTGCTTGTCGTTTCTCCTCCTGCCACTGCAGCTAGTGCTGGCGATATTACAGTTGAATTCGTTTTAAAGGTAGGGGAGGCTGACTGGGAAGTAGATGATATGGTGGCGAAAGTAACGGTGATGGTGGTGGTGATGGTGGTGGTGGTGATGGTGGTGGTGATGATGATGATGATGGATGGATGGATGGATGGATGGATGGATGGGTGGATGGGTGGATGGAATGTTGCCGGCTGGGAGGTTGAAGATATTAGCCTTGTCGTCATTGGCCAAACCCGAGCCAATCAGACACCCTTTATATCGTTTTCCTTCCGAGCCAACCTCACCTCAGAGCACCACAAAACCTCACTTTACCAGTGCACCACCAGCGCAGTCGCACTTCTATACCACAAGCACATTCCCATTCTCATCCTCCGCCATGCCGAACATCGTAAGTACTCACCGTGGTCGTGGTTATTCATCCACTCAATCGTTAGTCACGTTGTCGTCTAAATTGCCTGCTAATCCAACCCTTCCTTCGTAGTACCGGAGCCCCTATGGTCCTAAGTAAGGCACTATCGTTGTCGCAGCATCTCTTACCAGCATCCCACACTCTCTAACAGTAAACCATAATATCCAGGCTGAAGAACGGACTGCACTTCGGTCCATGGACTCCCGGTCTCATCACTCGCCTGTATGTCGGCGAGAACCCCCGATAGTTTTTTTTTTCATCATTTGACCCTTCCGGACATTTCCACCCTAATAATGCTCTGCTCCTTCTCTAGTGGCTTTACCACCGGTGCGTTTGGTGGCGTAGCTCTTTTCGCTGCTGTTTTCTTCGCTGAGGGCGTTCCACGTGTGAGGAGTGATATTTTGCAGAAGATTCCAGTTTTTGGTTCCTACTGGGTCAGGGAAATTCCGGCCTCGGATAATGTATGGCGCCTTTCTCATACCCCTCGGCTTTTCCATGTTCTATTTGACTGACAAAACTCGGATATTTTGCAGCCCTTCTAAACGGGTCAACAACGACAGACCCTCGGCCTCTCAACTCCGGTACAAAAGAAGTAAAAGAAAGAAGCAAAAGAAGAAACACCCGGTTTGAACATCACTCATGTACATAGCCTACCACAATAGACCTTAGATTGGTATTTCTTTTGAAAATATATTCTTTCATTGCTCTCCTATATCTCCGCTTCAATATTCCGACCCATGACCGTTAGTTCGTACGCATAGTCTAAATTTTCGTACATCTAATTCTTTCCAATCCAACCACAAGCCACGAAGAAATCGTGGATTTTCGAAACTTTTGCAACATCTATCTTGCATATCTCTTTAGCTTGCTTCTTTTTCAAGACTCCACCCTGACGCATGGCTTCTTTCATAAGGAGATCCTTTGTTACAAGGTAAGGCTTAGGATGCATGCCAATCAGGTTACAAAGCCGCCTCTCCTCCTCTGTCAGGAGATGAAAGTCTGGAGCATTTTCGTTATTGAGCGCGGCTGGTGTGAATGATGCTGGCTGACTTAAAACCACACTCGCCGCATTTGGTTTTCGACTTGCATAAGTGCCATCTGCTTTGTTATCCGCGGCGTCATCGATCACCTGGGAGCTGCTGGATATCGGAGCTGATGTTGGATTGGAGATCGAAATGTTAAGGCTCTTTAATGTACCTGGGTGGAGGAGGTGAGGTGATGAGAGTATGGGGCCCTCTAGTGAAACGGCCGTCTTAGCGTTGACACGGTGTCCGCCACGGTCATTCTGGGTGCCCGGTTGTTTCATGATGTTTGTCTGTAATTCCATGAATAATTGTTAAAACGGAAACGTGGGAGTCGAAGGGGCGTGTAATGGTGGAGGAATTTGGGGTTTATCCGCCACTGTTCAATGTGATTTCCTTCCTTTTTCTGATCTTGACATTGATGGTCACAGCAAGTGATGACGTGGGTACTGCGGAAAACGGGAGAGGAAAAATAAACACAACTGTGTATTTCATACCCTATGCGCCTTCTCTAATTCATACTTCGCTCCCTTCTCCAAGTTTCGTATTCCACATCTCCTCCACTCCTGCAGTGTCAAAATAGCCTGTCGTAAGCTCAGCTCCTTCTGTAGATCGTCCGCGAATAAAGTGTAGTCGGCATGATTCATGACCCTCGCAAAGGGTTTTGCTTTATTGAGCAATTCCTTCTCCTCTTTACTACGACGTTTTTCAATCACCTGGTTTTTCTTGTATTCTAACAAAGCGTGCTCGAATATAACCTTCTTCCTCTCAACTCTTTGAGTGAGACGGTGATTGTATATGTCCATAACAGTGAGTTTGAGGTCGATTTCGGGTTCGATATGTCCAGTCACAGGGTTTAGGCCATCGCCTGGATCGAAGAACATGTCCTTTACGGTTGTCTCAGCCTCATTCTCGTATTCAACTTCAAATTCCATTCTGCCAGGCATATATCCTTGAACCTCGTGACACGCTGGCACGCTGGCTGTAGGTTTTTTCTTAGGCGCTAAAGGAAGTGCATTTGCTGCCGCCGCCTTTCGTGCCTCAATACGTCTCTTTTTGCGAGTTTGGAACTCCTCCCGTGGCATGCTCTCTAAGCCGCCGGCGGCCGCGGGATCAGAAAGCTCAGGTAGAGGAAATTTCGACGATTCTATGTAAGTCTTGTAGTAATGGTCGCGAACCTCGTCTTTCTCCCTTCCTCCTCCGATATGGTCCGCAACATCCGCCCAAGAACCGAGGCCATAGGTTTCTGCTCCTTCGAGAAGGAGCAGTTCTTCATCGGCACCCCAATCCTCGTCAAAAATTGGTATCGAATGCTGTTCTATCACACAGTATGAATGGCTAGCAGGGCGGTGATTGCCACAAGTCTTGCCCTCGGAGAAGCAGGACACGCAAAGATCGAATTCAGGACATGAAGCATCTGCGCAGCGTATTCGGACCTGAAAATAGTTAGTCAATTGAAGGTTATACCGCGATCAGGGGAAGGATACGCATGCATGGGCAGACGCACAGTCGAAGAGATATCAGCAGAGCAGACATCGCAATGAAACCTGACCCCAGACTCCGCAGCACGCGCCGTTGCATTGGACTTTTTCTTGATGACGGTCATACTAACTAACGGTACCGAAGGCAATAGTTAAGGCGATGGCTATACTATTTGTTGCTAATATACTGATATTTGGATGTCCCAGGCTCGTGATGACCAGGATACCGATTCGAGCGGGATGCTAGATGCATACAGGTGTGTTGCCAAGATATGATGTAAGTACATGCATGTGCTTACCTAGTTTACTTACTTAGTAAGTACCTACCTACCCGGTCTCGTAAACCAGACAACACACGGGGTGCTTCTTGCGAAGCAGGCAGGCACAGCCAACAACACAGCTGTCCTTTGGACCCCTCCAAAGCTCACTCCCTCACTCTCCCTCCAACCAACCAACCACAACCACCACCACCACCACCACCACCGACATCGATCCAATAAAACGGCCAGGCTTCTCACGACAAGTTCAGTCGCCAGAGAGAGCGATAATCTCACAACTCTCTCCCAAACTCGCATTCCCCGCGACCTGGCGAATATGGTCCTTCTACAACATTTCAGGGGATGGCCTCCGAGCGTATAATGCCTCGCCAGCAGAGACCCGGCCGAGGAAAACAGCGCAACCAGACCCGTTGTAACCCTCGATATCTCAATAGTAACAAAGATAATATTGCAGAGGAGTGGGGTCCATCTGGCCCTCAAGCTTCCACCGAGGAGCCTAACAAGCATAACCTCAGGGCCGCCCTTTTAGCCAATCATGACCCCAAAACATCTGACCATCGAAAAAGTCAACCTCTTCCCTCAGAACAAGAAACCACAGCTCGGGAACTGGATAGCGAGTATGTTCTGGTATATATCCATAAAGTCCAAACAACCGATACAATGGCAGGTGTCCTTCTCGCCTATGACATCGAACCCGATGTCCTCCGAAAAGCCAATCGGTTGTGGCCAAATGATAGTATACAAATGCGCTCACAGCTTTACCTCCCTGTTGGCGAATGTGCTGTGAAAGGGGTACCGCTTCCAGCTGAGGAATTGGCAGGGCAGCGTGTGAAGTCTCTAAAAACCAAGGGGGGGGGCGACGAATTGGGGAATAGCAGCGATCAGCAACAGCCCACGCCCCTCAGGAACAATCATAACAACGCCCCCGTACCAATCTTACAAACATCTGACGGCCATCATTCGTTCATACACATCGACCCCGTCGGTCCTGTTGAAATTGTGAGGTTAGCAAGACCAAAGCTTTCTCACTTTCCATCTCCTTCCAGCAACCGCATGGTACCAAAGTCTCGCATACTGGACCATAGCTCTGTAATCGAGCCCCAATATAAACCGCCCCCTCAGGATATATCGACGGATACTTTCGAGCGGCTCGAAACTGTCGGTGCAGCTATCGAGACTTTTGTGCGTAGGGTTGCCGCGAGTGCAAGGATGAACTGGGTCAATAAAACAACAAGTGACTTGATTGAGCTTACGTCCCATGTGGGACGGCCGCCGCAAACTCCTGATTCCAGAGGGACTAATGCCAGCAATACACGTAACACCAATTCTTCCCGATGCGAAGAGGTTGCTCCGGCGACATTAGCGACCTCCAATAGCTTTATGGTGCATGGGGGTAGTTCTGAAGCACCCAGGAATCGCCGGCGGACAAAAAAAGTAGAGGCTTCTGAGGGGTAGACACAAGAAAAACGCCCGGTCTTTTTATCCAGCAAGCGATCCCCAGAACAATGAGCTTTCTCCCCATCGGCCTTCAACCTCATTTCCCCTGGGTCTCGGATGTATTTTCTGTACTTTATGTACCTTCAGTGCATCGTGACCAGAAAGATACTCTCCACCTATGATACGCTTGATATAATCCCAGAAAAGGTCTGCAAAGCCTGAATCGATGAAAGATCTAGTGAACTTAAGACCTAGCTAATTCATTCAAACTTAGGCACCTCTGTTGTGTTCCTATCCGCTAAAACCATCCTGTATCACAACAGAGCCCACATGATTAATGGGTTGATGTCCCCACATGAAGTTTTATTCAAAAATTGTTATACAACCCAGTCAGTTATAATGTGTAGTGTATACATATTTCAAGTTTTTCGAAATGAATAAGGGCCTCATTCTTTCCGCTCCTTCACCTCTCCAACCCCCGGACCCCCGACGAAGAGACCGCTAAGAGGCTCTAGGGCCGCAACAAAAACGCAAAGGAGACTGGCGATCACGAAGTGACTTATAGTCGTCCCGATATCCAACCAGCTACCTTCGTCTTTAACCATATAGAAAAAGTTTAAGGTAAGAACATCGGTTATTGACATGACAATCATGAACAATGCTGAAGGTGGGGCATGAATAATCCGATTGAGAACCCCTAGATTTGCTGAAATAATCGCGAAGGGGATGAGAAGTTTGAAAACAAGGAGCGCCGTCATGGAAAAGGGGTTAAAGATTGGGATAAGCCTGCATACTGACTCCAAAGAGAAGGAGCTGAGGGAGGCAACATTACCCGTTCCAAAGAAACCGGCTTGAATAAAGAAGAAGAAGAAGAGAGCTATGCGGTTATCACCAAGATCTAGAGCCCTTACCCCCTTGTTCTTCGCCCTGGTCTCCTTAGTACTGTTGATTTGTTGGTATACCAAGTACTCCATCTGTACCCATGTAGCCAGCATAGCACAGAACGATACGTAAAAAAGTCCTTCGTAGGATATGGTCAAAATTATGAAGGTCGGTGAAAACGATAGGAAGATCACCATGAGTTGATGCTGATAGTGTCGAAGTGGGGTAAATCTATGCATGGGCAAGGCCAGCAGTGATAGCCCTGAAGGCCCCGTCAGTTTGTTGGTATTAAAAATAGGGCGGCTGGGGTATATTACCAAGGATGCACCACCCTACGACCTGGTTTCCGAAAGGTAGGCCTTGTTTAGCTTGTATTGACTTGACACTACTGTGTGTCACTGCCATAGATAGTGCTATGAGGCCACACTAAGAATACATATTAGTCCTCCCCCACTTTGAATTCAACGCCGAGCGGGTCTTACCTGGAAACCTAGTAAAAATTGCATATACTTCCCGTTAAATGTCGTTTTAACATTAGCAGCGAAGAGCCTATGCCCATAGGCTATATAACCGACCCCTGCAGCAAGCATCAAGCTGCCTGCTGAATGTCTTCGATCTGTCAGAGGACGAAAATGGCACCGCGAGCGATTTTAGGTAGGTACGAACATTTGAAAGAGGCTCTCGACTTTTATCACGGGCAACAACGTGAAAACACTCATTGCAAGGCAAGATACACTCCAGAGGAAAACAGTGGTAGAATTCCGCTTTACAAATACCTTGCCATAAAACCAGGGCCATGTTAAACCCAAGATGAAACATGCAGTAAAGATTTCACGATGAAAATATCCGTATACCTAGTCCATATGAGCAGTTGCCAAATTAAAATTCAAAGGGGGGGGAGACTTACAATAGCTTCCAGGACAATCAAGAACCCAAAGCTCTTCATCAACAAGCCAGCATAACGATGAGGACCATGCCTTTGCGCTAGAAGTGGGATCCCAACCATTAAGGCGTCTCGGGAGAGCCAAACCTGCCACCAAAAAAAAACAGGCGCAAAGGCGTACATATAATATGTCCAAGGGCTTTGTTGTACGTAAATAACGGCAAATAGTCCGGTAAGGGTGCTTAGGAAGCCTACGAGTGCAGGGGATGACCACCTTCTCATAGCAGCGTTATCCAAAAAGTGCTGCTGGATGACAAAGGCTAGGGCAAATAAAATCCACCCCAGATAGCCCAAAGTTACCAGCGTTCGTAGGAACAACCAATCATAACTGCGATTTTAATATTAGCGAAAATCCGGTTTGACATGAAGTGGGTTTCACATACGTCTGCATATATCGTAAACCTTGCAAAGAAGCCGATATAAGGTCTTTGCATTCAGAAGTTGCCGCATCGTAATCCTGGGATGTGATGAGTGATTTTATCTTGTCCACCCGTTCCTGACTAGAAAGACCCCTCTCGTGCAATGGCGCAAATGGCACAAAGTTTATTTGTGTAGACATCTTACTAGCTACGTTGAAGAAATAAAGATCAGCGTCAAAATCTACCTTTAGAAAAACGGATATGGGTGGTTTAGTATCACCTTCTTTAACCTTGAACATTTCCAAAATCTGGAGAGCATTCGCAAAGATAGAACGCGCCTTTTCCTCATCACTAGCATCAAGGTATTCAAGCGGGAGGACGCCCACAGAGTTAACGGGGTATTCCACACCGATAAGATGAGCCATCAAGGCCGCAACGTCAGCCTGGTCAACGTCCACTCGGCGAACGTGATCCAAGTTCCAGTCACTAGAGAATTCATCGTGGCCAGAAGCAACTGCGCCATCGGCCACGATATCCGGCCCTCTGATACCAGCCCCCCATGCAATCAAAGGAGTCCTAGTATTATCTGGGTGACCATCACCGTGAGAGCCCCAGTCGGACATCCCGTGGTCAGCAGTAAACACCCAGGCCGTTTTACCATCATTTCCGTAGAACTCTTCAACACTAGCAACGAGTTCTTGAACTCCAGCGTCCACAACTTGTATATTCCTCAAGTACTCCTGAGAGTAGGGTCGGAACCCATGGCCAGTGCTGTCTAGTCCCAGCAAATGAAGAAAAAAGACAACTTTGTCCTCGTTCACAGCAGCCCGAAGTTTATCATCTCCTGCGGCCTGAGTAAAGAAGTCCTTGACGTGGTCAAAAACCCATGTATCAAGTTTTGTTGCATCCGCAGTGAAATCCTCGTCCTCCTCCGAATAAGAGAAAGCGTCAACTCTACCAGGAGTCGCGCCCTCCTTGAACATAGGCAGGATATCCGGCGAGCCCCAGCTCCATGTGTGGCGGCTTTGGTTAAAGACGCTATCAAAATTGACGGGGTTCAATTTCCACCCAGTCGTGACAGCGGAAACATCTTCATAAAGGCCAGCTATCAATGCCACATGACCCGGACGAGACTCGGTTGGCATTCGAGTATGTGATACACCGAAACTACCCACCTCGAGTACCCGCGATCGAAGGAAAGGGGCCAGCGGGCGTCTAGTCGAATCCTCTCCATCTTTGAGAAAAGGGGGAGTGTGGGCCTGGAAACATTTATCGGCGCGGAAACCGTCTCCTAACCGAAATCAATTGATTAGAACTATACCTATCGCCAAAATAAAACGTCGGTGTTCTATGCATGGCAAGCCCAATGCGACGATTGGGGCGCGTCAGGGCCGGACTGTAGCCAGATAACGGGTTAACACACCGACAATGAAGAACAGACGTTTCGCAGGTGGTTTAATGCCGGCTGAGTGATGCCGCATGCCATGGACAATTGGCGAAACAAAATATATGTCAAAGATTGACCATATATAGGAGAAGTGGAAGATGGCCGCAACGGCCAAGAAACTTAAACGGTTGAACTGCATTGTGGCAGTTGGACGGTAAAAGACGCGACTCAACTGGTGTACAAGTGAGGTTGTGTTTGGTGACAGCTTTCAGATCCGAATAGCAAGTATGTACACGCAGTACCTACCTAAGTACTTAGGTACTTCTTACCTGCTTGCTTACTTACTTAAGTACTTACTTACATAAGTGCTTAAGGAAGTTAAGTACTTAAGTAGCTTGGCCCACCAGGCAGCTAGTACTAGTTAAGTACTTGCTTACTTAAGTAAGTAGTACTTAGCTTAAGGTTTTTTATACCAACAAAACATTTACAATAGCGTATTTAAGTACTTACTCACTCTGCAAACATGACAACAGTTGAGGTTTCTGATTTTGCGGATCTGGCCCTCACCAGGTACCTCCAATTGCAGACTCCAGGACGGTTACTAGTATCGGTATCGGGAGTTCCGGGGTCAGGTGGGCATGGCGCTTAATATCCGTTATATATATATCTGACCACGAGGAAAACTCGATCTTGATATGTAGGGAAGACGACTTTCACCAATGCCGTAGTTCATAAAATCAATGAACTCAGCCAGCTCCGGCACGGAGTCGCAGTGGCATGCGCCATCCCGATGGACGGATATCATCTTTCCCGGAAAGATCTAGCATCGCTCCCCGACCCTGATGAGGCGTGTCGGCGACGTGGCGCGCCGTTCACTTTCGATGTTGGCGGCTTGTACCAGCTCCTCAACAAACTTCGAGAACCTATATCTTCTACGCTGTATGCACCGAGTTTCGACCACGCCATAAAGGTACTTACATATAAATCGATTCCCTAAAGTGAACCCGCTTCGTTAAATTTACCTTCGTATATATAGGATCCTATTCCTAGAAACATATACATTCTCGCCACCCAGCGAATCGTGATCGTTGAAGGCAACTATCTCTGCTTCAACCCTCCTGATGTCCCAGAAGGAGGCAAGGAAGGTAGCCACCCATCACCACTGTGGCGTAAGATCGCTGCTCTGTTTGATGAAAAGTGGGTCATAGACACTCCCCTCGAGATTACGTCTTCTAGGCTCGCATTGAGGCATCTCGCTGCCGGAATCGTTGGATCTTTAGAGGAAGGGTTCGAGCGTGCCAACGGTAGTGACAAAGAGAATTCCAATGATATATTGCGCTGGATGGGGCCCTACGATCGAAAATTATCGGCATCCTCTGTTTAGGTGCCATGCTTTATAATTATCGAGATAAACCTAGCTTAGGTAGGTAGCTACTGATGATTACCTAATTACCATTCAACGAACCGGGCCGAGTAAAGAAATATGATATCGATAGAATAATATAATATAATCGCGATTGAGGTAGGCCGCGGCCGTGGAATTATAATGTGATAACGGTATATACCTATATGGTCAGGATATTCGAAAGTCAGTAGATATACCTAAGTACCTACCTAAAGTACCTAAGGACATGTACCTAGCAATGGGTAAATATAAATATCGGGAAATACGAACCATCGCAATTCAAGCGCAGATCAACTATAGTATACTAATTGAACCTCGATCCGGACCCTGGAATTTAATATTTGCAACGTCCCTGCTCGGAGTGCAGTGAAGTTCAGTGTTTGTTTCGATAATCGAACTACCTATTACGTACGCGTACTCGAGTAAGTAATTCTTACGTATAAATACTTACTACTTAGCTGAGTAAGTACCTAGCATACCTCCTAAGCTAAGCTACTTAAGTAGCTTATATACTTCCCATCTCGATTCTCAGAGAAACGTAAGATTAAGCACACGTCCATTGCATTGTTCGCACATTTCTATCCACCACCGGCCCCACCGAGCGTACACACTAACAGCGCTCCCTTGGAGATCTCAGTCAACATGTCCGAAGTAAGTACAAGAACACAGACGCGATTTTGTCCAAACCCCCGCCCGGAAGAAAACGCCAAAATCCTAACTATATTGCGTGGTAGGATTTCGGTCCTGATATTGAACAACTACGGAATATTCGGACCCGGCTAGACCAGCTAAGGAACGACAGAGACCACTATATCAAAGCAGCTGATATTGATGGTCTCTTCCTCTCTTTGAACTCCAGTGCCCGAGTTCGCGAACTTGACTTGCGGGGCATAAGTGGGGACTATACGCTACCCACGTGCATAGGAGACAAGGACAATTCGTCAGGCATGTTAGCCTTGATTTTAGCTAAACCCCGTAGCCTCAAGTATTAGCTAATCCGTTGTACATTAGCTAGCCAGCTCTTGGAGGAGGTTTTATTACTATTATCATTGTCATACATGACGATTGGTAAGAACAACGAACTTCCCGCGGTGTAAGGACTATTCCCTGGTTTAGTCATCCATATTTGAGCCATTGTAACGGGTTTGGATAGGTATACTACTCTGGTTGTCATTAAAACACTGCTCTTCCATCTGAAGAATGCTGGCGCATATTCCCGACAAGACCTTAAAGCTCTGGAGGCAAGACTTGACGACATTTCCCGGATCATAGAAAATGGAAAAGAGAAGTATGGACAGGTGTGGTTTGTATTTTTTAAGTCGCAGCTTGAGGATTGCAGACAGTCACTAGTTCCCGTAAAGCGCAACCTAGACGGCTTGTCCCACCAACTTGACCCCCTATACGAGAAGCTAGTGTCCTTGATTCGACAGATCACTGCAGTTGGATCCCGACCCAAGGTCAAACACACCCTTCCAGAGGAAAACTAATATAACATGCCTGTGTGATGTAATTTTCTAACATGTGAACCTTCAGCAGGTCGTTATATCGGAAATAAAAGAACTCCAAGAGAAGCTCGTTGAAGTCGAAAGCTCACGTGTCGAGGGGAAGTTCCTCGCGCCCGATGACACTATACCTGAGGGTCAAGAGTTTATCAACGATCTGCTACAAAAATGCCACTTCATAGCAGATTCAATAATATCTGACTCGCTCAGAGTTGACCCGAGCCTCTCTAATCTCCATGATGACCTTGTAGGCACAAAGGGAAAGCTTGAGCAGCTCATGCTGACCCAAGCTTGGTCTATGAGAGAAACGGATTTGTTCGATATCCTACAACAGCTCCGTAGACTCGATAGTCTTCGAGTTAATGATCGTTTTGTGGGTACGGACGGAACGTCGCCGGAAGAAGGCCAAAAGGTTCGTATAGAGCTGTTTCCTTGTTTCCCGATACTTTCTGCTAACCTTCAAAGTTTCTGCTCTATCTACTGCGAAAATCATACGCTTTGATATATGAGCTACTCCACTCTTCAAAACCAATTAGTGAATCGCTTCAGCCAATATTTAATCAATTATCGACATTGAAAAAATGCTTATTGGAAGTTCAGGGTTCTGGAGGGGTATCGTCGGCGAGGGAATTGTTCCCCTTTTCAATTAATAAGTCGCCCGGCCACCCCTTGAGAAGTTAAATCAATATTGTCGGCGCTGCTAACATGAGATTCTGTCCTATACAGCTCGCCTCCATCGATAACCTAAGGGTATATCTTCTATATATCCTGGCGAATGCGAGTTTGGAATGAATACTAACGGGGCTTGTTCATGCTTTTAGAACTCAAAGGATGGCGCATTTCACGTGGGGAAGGAAATAGTAAGCTAACCCCACTTTGATCCAAGCATCCTCGTTGTGAAATATTCTTTCTCACTTTACACCGTCGTTTTAGCCTGAGGGACAGGGTGCAGTGAATAGTCTATTGGAGGAATGCTATGAGATTTGCCATGGACTTAGATGCCAGGTGGAAGACTCGTAACAAAGAGTACACAGCATCACCATCGACGTCGATTACGTGCACCAAGAATCAAGAGCGCCTTTAGTTATTACATGCTCCCTACCTATCTAGGTATTTACTGGCAACAAATTTGAAATTTGAATGGATTCCCTGAATGTGAATGCAATGTTGGGGGATAGGCTTGTTAATTTAAGGATGTCAAGTGATGTCATTATGCTTCTGCCAAAAATTGTTGTGCATATCATGCCTTGTGCATATGATGGTTGCATGCGCAGGGCATGGCACTTGGCGCTTCCCATTTAAGGAAAGTGTCGAATTCGGAGAAGCCGTCTTATCTGAGCTCATGTACTATCTCTAAATTAAACGAAGACATTCTGGACCGGTTCTGCTTCGTGAATTCAACCCAAATTGCATATACACGGAATCATAGACTTTGTCGCACGCGCACCACTATTCATTCAAGATGCAGCTTCCCCTTAACGAAGCTTTCAGCGGTATCTTTGGGAGTATATCTTTAACATCATGGATGTTCCTAATAGTAAGAAACATAATGATATCCTGTGTACTTAGATATATTTTGATACCGAGAGTTGGCAATTGTTAATCTATGATCTTTACTAGGTCCCCCAGCTTTGGGAGAACTTCCGAAACCAGTCAGCCGAAGGCCTCAGTACTTTGTTCTTGATAATCTGGTTATTGGGGGATATCTGCAATTTAACAGGTTCGCGTGCGACTCTCTCCTGCCGTTTAAACAGTCACTGATCGGCTGTTATCACTTGATTCCCTGAACTAGGTGCCCTTTGGGCTCATCTCCTTCCTACTGTGGTCGCACTGGGGATCTATTTCTGCCTCGTCGATTTCATCATGCTTGCTCAGCTCATCTATTACAACCACTACCGTCCGAAGAAACACTACCGGTTTTCACAGAATCGCAGGACTGATCATGCAGGTCCAAGTTTATCAGATCCACTGCTCCCGGATGCCGAAGCCTCGCGGGCAACAAAGCACTCGGGACCTCAACGCCGAGACAGTTTGTCCGAAGCGTTCTCAGATAGCAGCCCATCTAAAGAAGTTACTAGGAATGCTATATCTATCTTCCTGGTCGTATTCGTCGGAACCACAGGGTGGTTTATTTCCTGGAAGACGGGAGCATGGGGCCTTCAAGGAGACACGCCAGACACGGAGGCTCCTTTAAGTGCTCTTATCCTTGGATACGCTAGTAGTTTCTTCTACCTCACGTAAGCCCAGGAATAAGTACCAGCAGTAGAGTACCGGCATTGACGTTACATAGGGCTCGTCTTCCACAGATTTATACGAACACCAAGCGCCAATCCTGTAGCGGACTTTCAATACTTTTTTTCATATTATCAACTGTGGGTAACTTGACATATGGCGCCAGTGTAAGTGAGAGACTCCCGAGCGAATAATAGAATATTAATCTTACAAATTGCAGATACTTTCTTTCTCCCTAGAACACAACTACTTACTTAAGAATACGCCGTGGCTGCTGGGGTCATTTGGTACATTAGTTCAAGATTTCGTGATATTTGGACAATTTGTATACTATGGGAGGCTCCAGACAGGGCCAAGGCAGGAATCATGAACTGGTGAAATATCGAACAAGAAACGGCATTTGCTTTCCTCACAGTTTCTTACACCCAGTCTTACACCCACGCACAGATGCACTATATCTTCTTAGCCGGGGCCGCCTCCTCCCGGGAGATCTATACATTGTCATCATTCTCAAAAGGCCAGAAATACAGAACGTATATTATTACTTAGGTACCTAAAGCTTGATTCTTAGGAATGAAAATCATCTTGAGCGATTACGATTGCAATACGAGCGACTCATGCAGTTGTTGGAAGAGCTTTGATCATTGCCACATAATTACAGAGGACCTAAGCGAACCCGAAACCCAGGCAAGCCACCGAGCGATACCGACAAATGAATAGGGTACCTGCAACGGAGAAGAAGAAATGATAAAAAAAGGATAACAAAACAGAAAATATGTTTGCATTAGTCGAAAAGTCCAAATCCCATGTCGTCATCCGATTCCTAAACGAGATGATGAGTTAGCGATTGCATTACCATCCGAGATGTCACCAAATAGCCTTACCTCCTTTTCTTCTTCTTTCTCCTCTTCCTTGGCTTCCTCTGCTGCTGCTGCACCGCCAGCAGCCGGTGTAGCACCAGAGGCAACAGCGGCACCACCACCCGAGCCGACATTTAATAATAGATCCTTAACGTCTTTGCCTTCTAGAGCCTATAGCGAGTATAACATGAGTGAACCACCCGGTTAATGATGGAGAAACTGTAGTGGCGAACCTTTGAAAACAGGGAAGTCCATATTGGCTCAACTTCGACGCCGGCAGCCTTCAGAAGGGTGTTGAGTTTATCGGCCTGTTAAGAGGATATGTTCCAGATTAGTTGTCGGTTCAAGTATGTAGGAGGGCCGTCGATGGAAGTTCTGACAGTGATATCGATCTGCTCATCTGCCAAGATGAGGGCAGCGTAGGAGACAGCAAGTTCGGAGGTAGCCATTGCGAATGTATGAATCTAGTTTCCAACAGCAGTTTGATTAATAGCCGTGTATAGCTGATGATCGTGAGGAATTCGGGTTTGTTGGCTTACAAAGAGGTTTTCGAGTGATGTCGGTTGCAAATTTAGACGGTGATGGTGATATGAAAGAAGTGATAAATTTCTTAAAGGTGGGTTTGGGATTTGTGTGGGATGACCAACACCAGCTTCACCGAGAGTACCCGAAGTGGTATCACTGTTACGAAAACTGGAAAAGAGTATCTAGCCTAGAAAGGCAACTAACTAAATAAATTTGACTGGAATCAAGAATAAAATTTTACAGGGTTTGAAAGCCGTTTGTCAAATGTAGATATGTATTTTCAACCGTCATGTTCCATGTTCTGGCCAATTCACAATATCCGACGACGGTTTCCCTCGTTCGTAAAGCCCTAAGCCAAACCCTAACGAGACCATGTCGCCGGGTTGTGTTGTGGACTTCTTGGCATCCCACAACGAGAACAACAACAACAACAACAACAACAACAACAACAACAACAACACAACATCAACCACAATTGATTACCTAATAGTTAAATTGCACCATCATCGTCATCCCATACGCGTCGTACTATATGCACGCATACATGTAATAAGGCTTACATTATATTATCGGTATATCAACCAACCAACAACCCATCTAAGTCATTGTAACCTGTCCGTTTCCGAAAGAAAAAACAGGGAGAGAAAAAAAAGGTTAGAGGAGACGTATGCTTAAATATCGATCGGTTCGATCTGGGGCATCGTGAAAGCACTCACCAGCTCTTCTGCACTCGTTGGATGGATCGCGACACAGCTATCGAAATCTGCCTTCGTAGCCCCCATCTTCATAGCAACACCAAACCCTTGAAGCATTTCGGCACTCCCGAGACCAATGATGTGAAGACCAACCACCTTTTCCTCGGGTCCAACGCATACCAATTTATATGAAGTCGGGCCCTTATTCTCCAGCATTGCATAGTACATGGCAATAAAGGAGGTCTTGTAAATTTTAATATTCTCGTCCCCATACTTCGCTCGAGCCTCTGGTTCAGACAAGCCAATTGCTCCAATTTCAGGGTGTGCGAAAACAACGGACGGGACGTTCTCGTAATCTAGCTTCTTCGTGGAGAATTCAGGTGGTCCAAACAGACGTTCAGCGAGTCTCCGGCCCGCGGCAATCGCAACTAGACATTGAGACACCCACACATAAAATATTAACAGGCCAATCCTTTCTAATTGCCGGTCAATGGTCACCATCTATCTTACCGGGTGTCAGCTCCACTTTGCCACATACATCCCCAAGTGCGTATATATTCCTAATGTTGGTGTTCTGGTAGTCATCAACCCGGACAAAACCGGTTTCGCTATCCAACTCAACGCCAGCTTGGTCGAGGCCCAAGCCGTTGACGAGCGGTGCTCTTCCTATAGCCCAAAGGAGGGTATCGACCTCCAACTGACTTCCACCCTCCCCATGGAGTATCAACGATTCACCCGATTCAGACTTTTCGATTTTTTGAAATTGCTTCGAATTCCTATGGATCTTGATCCCTATCTTCTCGTAGTGGTTTGTGAGAACTTCTTGAATCATGGGATCGAATTTTCGCAGGACTGTTTCCCCTCGAATAAAAAGATGGGTTTCAGAGCCGAGCGCATTGAAGATTCCAGCAAGCTCGACCGCGATATATCCAGCGCCCACTAAAGCCACTTTTTTCGGAAGCGTCTCCAGGTCAAAGAAGCCGTCGCTGGTTATACCAAGCTCAGCACCGGGGATGCTCCTTGGTGTAATAGGGTATCCTCCTTTTAGTCGAAAGCATTAGCGGGTCCCTCGTGATGATAAACCAGATGGTTTTCAAACCTGTTGCTATCAATATCTTTTTCGCTTTGACGGTTTTAATATCCTGGGAACCATCAATCGCCCGCAGGGCTACTTCATTAGGGGAGACTAAGCTGGCATGTGCGGAAATATATTCGACACCATCCTTGTCCAGGTTTCGCTCATAGATGCCGTTTAGACGTTTTATGTACGCATCTCTTTTGTGTTTAAATGAAGTCCAATCGAAAGGTGCTTTCTGTTCGAGTTTAAACCCATACCCGCCAGCATCATGAATTGTTTCTGCAATGAACGCAGCGTTCCAGCACACCTTCTTGGGGACGCAGCTGATCGGTAGCAATCAGTTAGTCAGGTACGAACAAAAAAGTCTAGACGTCACCCGCAGCGCAAGGAAGAGGCTTTTCGTACCCAACATTCACACAAGTGCCGCCGAGTCGGCCGCTATTTTCCACGATTGCAACTTTTTGCCCGAACCTGCTCGCCGCTCTGCGAGCAGCCCCAAGACCGCCGCTGCCCCCACCAATAACGAGGAAGTCATATTCTTCGGACTTAGATATAGGTGCCATTTTAGTGAATTGTCTTCTTACAGCGGACAACCGTGACGCTGCGATGGGCAAGCGACGGACGAGAGCAGAAGCAAGCAGGTTTGCGGTTTTTCGGCGAGGGGCCGGTAGTGATATGCGGGGAACGGAGACGTTTGGAAGATGCACCGTTTTGTGAGAGAGAAGATGGAAGCAGAAAGAGGGTTTCCTCGGAAATTTAGTCGGGCGTCGAAGTTATATACTTCGGAAATAACAATGATTTCTTAGTCCTTGATGTGATGTCCGAAGTATCCCGAAGAATATTAGAAATTAAGACCCCCCACCCTGCCTGCGGGGAGGATGCGCATGCAAGCTTGGTCTGGATTACTAACAGCAGGGTGCGGATAAACCACCAGACTCGCCTGGACCGCTGTATCAAGCAGGTGCAGATTGGTCAAATCAGTGTTGGGAAAGTCGAATTGTTGTTTCTGGTCCAGTTCTAAAATAACAAATATCGCAGATGGAAACCAAATAGGTACTTATTTAAGTACTTGCCATGTAGAACACACTGGCATCACTACTGGCGCCGCTAGCCACCTCAGGTCTCAAGAACTTTAATAATTCGAGAGGATATATACTTAAAGTCGGTCCCTAGCTTAGGTAGGTCGGTAAAGTAAACTAGCGACGCCTGACCCTAACTACTATAGGAGCTACTGCATCGAAGCTATCACATCATATAAATTACACGTACGTATGCAGAGTAAGTATCAATCTATATGGCCTGGGCTGACCTGGCCTCAAATATAAAGTATCTTTGCTAATCTTGTACATATAGTTCGCGCTCGCTCTGAAATTCTCAGCCCAAACTACTGGCTGCTAGCTCCATATGAAGCAAGCCTGGTCTCCCTTTAGAGGCCGGAAACCAGCAAAAGATGTTGCAGCGCCTTTCGTTGCTACGAAACGGCGAACTAAAGGATATCCTTCAGCGATGCGGGTGGCCTGTTTCCGGCACAAAGACCGTAATGGCTATGGAGATACAGGCTCGATCTCACCGATCCAGACTAGCGACTTATCAAAGGTCGAGACCAGGCATGCTAGAACCAGCGGAAAAACAACTGGATGAGCATCGGATATTGAGCATTGATATGGGGATCAAAAACATGGCCTTGTGCCTACTTAGAGTCTCCCAACAGGAGATTTTCTCCAGTGAACCAGTCACCCCGGAGATACTCACTTGGCAAAAGTTCTCTCTTTACGACCACCATCTCAACCACGGCCATGAGAATGGTCCGAATAGCGGCACCCAAGATATGGATTTTGCCTCCGTCTCGTTAGCGCCGCTTGCCACGGCTTTGGCAAGGCAACTTATTACGACTCATAAACCCACCATCATAGCGATTGAAAAACAGAGATACCGGACCATGGGATCGGCTGCGGTACAAGAGTGGACACTCAGGGTGAACAAATTGGAAGCGATGCTTCACGCTACATTGAGAGTACTGCAAGAAGAGGGCATTTGGGAACAAGGCGCGACTCACAGTATCTGCCCCCAAAAAACAACCGGATACTGGCTAGGTCGGTACGGTTTAACCGATGGCGCTAGGAAAGGGACAGTCACAAAACCCTTGAAAGTCAAACTGGTCAAATCATGGCTTGAAAACGGGCATAATGTAGTATACAAGAAGAGCAACTTCCTTGCCGCAGACACTGCATCTCTCTTCTCTAAAGTGTCCAGTCAAGCCAAGACAAGAACAGGAGAAAAACTAGATGATCTTGCGGACTGTTTGTTACAAGGCCTCGCACTTATACATTGGGAAATAAGCAGACTTAAACTACTCGAGGGCTGGGAATAAAACAACATCAGAGTCAAGTTAGTCTTTTTCCTAATCCAAGAACCAGCGTGTTAAAATAATGCGCAAGCATTCCTAGCAAAGATGTTACATTCGGTATTTGCGCCATTAGCTAAGAAGGTCATGATCAAAAGGCCTCTCTGCTCAGCGGTGGCATCCAGATATCAATTCGTATATTTATAATATAGTATCCTCCAGAGTATATATATGACGTGATTATAGATGATTGAGTGGTATGCGGAACAATCCAAGAAAAACTAACGGATGAATAACAGATAAACAATGGGGGGAAGGGGAGAGTTTCTGGGGCAAAAGGCCCGCCTCCAGTCAGCCTTTGGGCCAGCCAGGATGTCTCAATCGCTAGATAAAGCGCCCTAAAACTTAAAGGCGATCCCCAAAACCCTTCAAAACCTGGACTGTGAATTGAAATCAGACAAAATGGTTCAGAAATTAGAGGAGGGATTCATGTTCCCAAATGCTGACTTTTTTCTGCGGTCACTTCCGCTAACAATTCGAGCGGTGCCATCGCCGCTTGGTATACTCGAAACCGACAACGGTGGAGGTGTTTCCTTGCGATGGAGTGAGAGATCTTCTTCACCTCCACGCCGACTAAACCAAATCCGCCATATAACACCAGCGACGCCCACAATAGACAGTATACCAACGACGCTAACAACAACGCCAATAATAATCTTTTTCTGCTGCGGAGTAACACCAGATGGAGACCCGGGTTCGCCTCCGTTCGCTAGAGAAGGGTCGTCCGACGAAACCATTGTCGTTGTCGGAACCACATCGGTTGTTGTTGACTCTCGACCAAATTCATCGGTTATAGTGCGTGTAACCGTCACCTTCGTTGGAACGGGGACTTGCGTGACCGTACTAGTCGAACCAGGCTCGTCGGATCGAGGAGGTTCAACTTTTGAGGTTGTTGTGGTAGAGTTGCTGAAGGGGGGTGTGGTGGAAAGACCCGCATCCGTTCCAGCAGACAGTAACCCATCATCACTGCCACCAGAAGAGGTTGGTGCAGGGTCGAGTGACGATAGCTCTAATGATGTCGGATCCGGTAGTGATGAGGTTGGTCCATCGGAGTTGGAAACTTGTCGCTTCTGGGGGCTGTCATCCAAAAGTGAACTCGAGGCGATCCGCGATGAGAGGAGGAGGGCAACCAACAACACCAGCAAAGACTCCCATGTTCTATATTGGATTAATTTCATTGTATTGGAACTAAGACCGGTCGGCGTACAGGCTATCGGCCTGTTTTGCGGGAGCACGCAGGTTTGGCAGATAATATAGTCCGAGGAATCCGGTGGATATCGATACTGACAGGCAACTGGAGATGTGCATTTGGATTCGGGCGCAGCATTTGGTCAGGTACTGGGTACTTATTTAAGTACTTAAGTAGTTTGGCAGGGAGGGATAGGATTGGAAGAGGGCGAGGGAGAGTTCTAAAAATGACAACCCAGGAAAGATTCACCCGCGCCAACACAAAAACAGTCAGGCATATGCAGGAACAAGCATTTGACTGGACGGCCGGCTGGCCAAGCTAAGAGGGACGTCACAAAAGCATCACCATGCACAATTGAGATGAGTTACATCATAAATTAGGCATTTGAAGCACAAATAGCAATAGCATTACCGGTAACAGAAGCCGTAGTAGTAGCAGCAGTAGTAACGGCTGTAGTAGCAGTAGTTGTAGTATTATAATTCGTAGTGAACGTTAACAAGCAGATATAATATACGGTAATGATAGATATCGATACATAACAGATACATAAACTAATCGGGTGACTTGGGTACGTGGGCAAATTAAATATTTGGCCAAGTGTTTACCTCTTCTCTTCGATGTTCCAAGAACGGTGCCGACATGAAAACTAAATCTAATCAAGACTCCGCGCTCTCATATTTTGCGACATGGGTGGATATGGCCCTATTTGTATTATTACTAAGTCAGTAACCAGTAAACAATCTTATCTTTTTGTATAGTAAAAGCTGGCGTACCTTCCGCTAGGATCCGATTGCTTGGACCATGTTGGAGTCCAGCGCATCACAGTAGATGCACACTGTTTGGGGAATTGCTCGTCGAACATCTGACGGTACCAGTATCTGTTACACAAATTTAGTAACCTATCGAAGGGATTGGGTTTGGATGGGTTCGCAGAAGAACTCACGCCTCCTTTGTATCCGGAGCATCGCTTTCCCAAAGTTCCCCACGCTTTGCAAAATCATCGTCGCTCACTACGCTCGCCGCGGTATCCTAATAGTAGCGGTTGGTGAGTCGGGCCCTCTATTCACACGAACGATTAACATACCTTGAGCGCGTCAATCCAACCGTATCCAACCCCATCACTGAACTGCTCTTTCTGCCGCCATAAAATATCTCTTGGAAGGAATGGTTCTGCTTCAGGCTCAGAGCTTGTGTCAAAAGCAGCTCGTAGAACCCATTTTTCAATTCGGCCGTTCCCAATCATTTTTTCCTGGGGGTCAAACCCCATTGCCACATCTAAGAACTGATTTTGCATCCGTAGTTAGCATTCCCCATTCCCGAAACCCCTAGGTGCGAGGAAATTCACCTACCTCCTTGTCGAGAAACGGCACACGAGCCTCCAGACCCCACGCTGAAGTTGATTTGTTGGCTCTCAAGCAATCAGCAAGGTGGAGGTTTTTAACCCGCCTCACAGTTTCGTCATGGAATGCCGCCTTGTCCGGAGCGGCATGGAAATATAAATAACCACCAAATATTTCGTCACTCCCTTCTCCGCTTAAAACCATCTTCACGCCGAGGGCTTTGATCTTCCTACTCAGAAGATACATCGGGGTTGATGCTCGAATTGTCGTAACGTCGTATGTCTCCAGGTGATAAATTACGTCCCGTAGCGCGTCGAGGCCCTCTTGGATGGTAAATGTGTAATTGTAGTGCTCCGTTCCGAGGAAATCGGCAACTTTTTGTGCCGCAACCCCATCTGGCGACCCTGGGAGCCCAATAGAGAAGGATCGCAACCTCTCGTACTTGCGAACTGTCTTTAGGTGACCTTCGTCGTCGATCCCGACAAGATGGTCGTTAGTGCCGTTGGGGGTATTATAAATATTGAGATCAGAGCCAGCCCGAGTCTCCCTGACGGCTATTGAAGCAATAAGACTCGAATCAAGGCCTCCTGATAGGAGAACACCATATGGCACCTCTGCCATCAAGCGCTTTCTCACGGATTTTTCGAGTGTGGCCCGGATAACCTTCAAATCGAGAGGTGCAGTAGGGACCCGGCTTGGCTCCCACCAACTAGGCTGGAAATATCTGGTGGTTTTATTGGTCTCCGAGTCGTAGACGTGACCTGGGGGGAAGGAGATTATTTTATCGCAAACAGGATGTAAACACTTGAGCTCTGAGGCAAAGTAAACAGTGTCGGGCTGCGACGAGTTCCATCCCTGGTAAAATGAAGTGATGCCAATAGGGTCCCGAGCTGCAACGACCCTATCCCTTTCCGAGTCATAAAGGATAAACGAAAACATCCCATCTAACATTTTGGGAGCTTCGATATCATGCTCAGCGTACTATGTTCGACTGTGAGATTACATTTTTATTTCTAGAGGAAAGAAAAGGGGTGAACTGGGAGGGGGAGGGGGAGGAGGAGGAGGAGGAGGAAGTGGTTAAGAATGATAGTTGGCATACTAGATAGAGAATGACCTCGCAGTCTGAGTGCGTCTTAAACTTATACTTCTCGCCGAAACTCTTCCGGATGAGCCTGTGGTTGTAAATTTCGCCATTGACCGCCAGGATCAGAGTATCATCTTCACTGGTTAAGGGTTGTGCACCGCTATCTATAGCGCAAGGGATCGTCTTAGTCCCAAAAACATTCTGGTACGTTGATGGTGGGGTGGAAGAGGGGCAAAAGGAACGTACCGATGCCGACAATGCTGAGCCTTTCATGGGTGAGAACTACAGATGGATTAATCAGACTAAATTTCGCAGAATTTGCTTTCTTGGGTGGTGAGGCATACTTGTTTTATTAGAAGTTACATTTCCACCTGTAATAAACATTAGAAACAAAGCTCGGGGGGTCGCCCAGGAGAGCACCTAAGGGGAGCATCTAAAAACCTACTCCAATCGGGACCGCGATGACGAATCCTACTCTAGGAATTAGAAAGCGACGAGGATAAACAAGGTGGCAAGTTAATATTCTTACGCTTTGGAGAGCTGCAAGGCCGTCGGCTTGAAACCTTGGACATTGGGGTGCTTTATAATTTAAGAAAACGAGGTTAGTTTCCTATGAGACTGAAGACCGAATGGCTAGAAAACAAATACCTTATGACAGGCGAAAATTCCACACATTTCTTCGTTTTTGGTTTCTTAATCGATTGGATAACAAATTGGGGTTTGGGAAGCTCTGCAGTTCTGCGACTCCGTGTATGTTGGTGTTGAAAGGGGGATACAAGAAAGGCTGTGACTCTTTTGATTTGGCAGTTGCGAATGCGGAACTGGAGAGAGTTAGTCAATCGCCAATTGGTGTCCGATCTAGGGCCGATACCGATACATGCGGATACAGGCAATTGCAAGGGTAAATGCTCAATTGTAGCTGTGATGGGAATGACGGAGGAATGGGAAACAGAGTAACATAAAAGGCGAAAACACTCGTTTATATATTGTAATTTTGTGCGTGAGGAGAAAGCTGAAAAAAATGAAAGAAAAAAAATAAATAAATAAATTTTAATGATAATAAATGTATATACCTTAAGTAGGTATATACTTATGTATATAGGGAAGAAGAAGGCAAATAGTAACCAGAAAAAGAGGTCGCGAGCTCAGTGTTCGGGTAAATCAGAGAGGAAAGCGCCGTGGTGGTGGTGAAATAATCGAAAAGTAAGTACTTACTTAAGTACTTATGTAGGTACTTCTTACTTGAGTACTACTCAGGTAGATAAGAAGTCAAGTCAAATCCAGGACTGACTCAAGTATGAGATGTTGGGCAGAAAACGTTTAAACCCCGTCGGATCGAGACTAGCTTAAGTCAGTACTTACTTGCACATAGACCACTATCCTGGATATTCTAATACAATGTAAGTCTACTATATAAGTCAGTAAGAGGACGAAGCAGGATTGGACCCTTTAAATGGACCTCTAGGCCTCTTAGCCTATGTAGCTTACCTCTGCCCTTAAGCTTAATTCTAACCCCCACAGGGTGACGGCTAGAACCCGATGCACTACAATGGGATTGGGTCGTATTCGCCGTCTAGCTTTTCCTCAGATCATAGATGCGGTGCATGGTTTCATTATTTCATTGACGGTGCTGGCATGCGCAGATGTATTTACTTAGAAGTATATGTACATGTACGGTGGGGGATGCATTGCAAGATGCATGTCGCCGTTTGCGAGAGGAATAGCCTCGATATGCATCCGGGGTGCATAAGTATTGACAATATCTCGCAATGCAATTGGCTGACATCTCCGAACTGCTGCTTTTAGTTATAATCATATTATATAAGGAGGAGGAAGTAAGTACATTACCTAAGTACGGCGCTGGGTGGACGTGTGTTAAGTTAGTCTCTGTGTAAGTATGTAATTACCTACTTAAGTACTTAAGGATTTAAGTACCTAGGTGTGTGGGGTCACCAGGCTACTTACTCTCTCCAACCTCAGTCATCAAATCTAGATTTCCTCTCCTCTCCTTGTCTTCGACATCAATACTCATACATCCACTCACCCGCCCACCCCGAATACGCCGACTTACTTTTCCATTTTGCTTTTCCGGTAGAAACCCTTCCTTTGCTCAGTACCGACTTCCCCAAGTTACATACTCAAGACTTCCCTCCCCACCTATGTATACCATCTGTGACAAGCCCCGATGTCCCACCGTCCGTCCGACAATGCTCACCCCCATGAATCTTTCCATACCCCGATGCAATCCATAAATTTCGCCCCTCCAACCTCTCCCTCCAACCCAGGTAATCCATTTCACTTCGGCAGTTCTCCGGTCCAGCAACACCACCTTTCCAACTCTCCTACGGGAGAATTGCTTGGAAGCAATAGCCAACAGGGGAAACGCGTTTTTCGCCCCAACCCACTACCACAGAGGCTGGATGATGCTCGTGAGAGACGGCGCAACCTTATACTAGAAAAACTCCAAGCACAACGGGAAAATAGGGCAATGCAGGCGAGAGGCGGCGAAGACGAGGTGAGATATACATCCCCCACCCCCTCTCGAAACGTCGTCGCATCCTCCGTCGAGCGCTGCTGATTACCCCTCCCCTTCTCTGGTTAGATGTTACGCTTAATATATCTATCGGAGAGAAATCGATGGGAGAGCGGCCAGGAACGCGTAGCAGTTGCGATGTCCTCATGTAAACCTCCCGCAAGCGATGAATATGAAGCACTTCACATGGCGGATACCTATCCGGCAGGCCACCAAGGTTCGTATACTCCTTTACCCTGATTCGGGCATAAACCACCCGTACTCTCTAACCTACCGCCCTAACTTTGTCACTTATTCGTCATGGTGGTCACGGATTTTAGATCAGGATATGGCAATGGTCGAGTTAATGGCAGACGTTGAGGAGCAAGAACTACAAGAAATTATCAACTACCATCAGTCCCCGGATTTCACACAAAGAATACAATCCAACAGGACGTGTCCGGGGTGCAAAAGCGATGAAATCTTAGAATCTCCTACAGAGGCAGTATGCTTCAATTGTGGTATAAGTATCGACCGCTGAGAACACCGTTAACCCCGGCAAAAGTCGAACGGTATAAGATCTATAATCTAGACACAGTATAAATCCGGCACATGTTAAATGCGGTTTTGGTATCAAAGCTTGGGAGCTTCATTGCGCCATACAGTTAAACTAGCAGGCCTAGATATCCCACCCGCCATCACGCAATCAACAGCTCAACGCAATTGAAATCAATCCTGTCCTAGTTCTTCTTTTGTCCACCCTCCACCGACTTTTCGACCCTTCCCCACGGTTTGGTCCCGTTTGACACGGCTCCAGAGACTAACATTTGGGTCCCATATAAATTGCCAAATGACATAGGTCCAACTTTTGTGCTGAGGCAAAGGCTCATAGAACTCAGCTGCTATATCCCGGAGCTTCCATAGGCGTGTCCATGGGATCGCAGGGAAATCATGGTGTTCATTATGGAGTCCCACGTTATAGGTCAGAAAGTTTAGGACACCGTAGTAACTGTATGTTTCTACAGGTAGGATATCTGATGGCGATGACCTTGAGGACCGCTCCTTTATTTTCTCGAAAACATACTATAGATGCGGCGAACGTCAGTCCCTGAATATGAAAGCAGCGAATACACACCCAAGACTCCGCAAAGCTACGGAATAGAAACCCACATGTTCTGCAATGAAGTGCCCGGCACATGGGTGAAGACTCCCTGCTAGGAAACTGCTCCAAAAGAAGTACCATAAAACATTCCAGCCCACGAACTTCACGAAAATTGCGTCGACAGCAACCTGCGTAATGACATTGAAGAAATGGATCCAAGTAAATGGGATTCGGTATATGGCCATCGGCCGTAAAGCATAGAAGAATATCTGAAATGTAGCGAAGAATGCCTTCCCCAGCACCGAATCGAGAAAAACGGCTTCTAAACTAGTTGGCAAATCGACATCGAGGCCCTCTACCCCAAGCGACTTATGATGGGTGAGATGGTATGGCTAGGTATTGGCACCGGGTATTTAGTGATCTGCGTCGGTTGCTCACGAGGAATAAAGCCTTAACCTACCCGAAATGAAGCACTGTATGGTATTCCGATGGGAAGATTCGCGACGATAGCAAGTAGTCGGTTCGCAAATGGCTTTTTAAAAGCAAGATTATGGGATATTTCGTGAATCGCTAGAAATAAGTTTTGATTTGCGGTGCCCCCAATAACATAAGCGGTCAGGAGAAACTTCCAAGAAAACACCGGTGTATCCCTTAGCGAGTAAGCGATCAAGAATTGAAGTATCACGACAAAACCAACGACGTATTTCGTAAGGGGCTCGGGGCCGCACAGTTTCGTGACCTTGAGAGTGAACGGTTTAGTAGCATATCCACACCACGTAGTAGGCGAAGGGCTGAACGGTACCTCGGGGTGAGCCTTGATGATCAGTTGTCGACGGGTTCTATGGGGCTCTTCCTGGTATGTCCATAGCCAGTCGTAAAGCTGGGAGTCGACCTCATTGGAATTGTGGCTTGGGTCTGGGATTTTATGCCTAGCAGGGCTAGTTTTCGAATTCCTCGATACGACGACAGTCTTTTGCATGATGAGCCCGTATTACGAATTGGAAACTTCGTATGAATATCTACACGTTCCTAGAGCTGGTCAGCATCCTGTTTTTTTTTTTTTTCCAAAGCCTTGGGCCAATGGGACATAAATACTCCTTGATCTAGATCCCCAATGTGGCTTCTAACCTCTTGGGAAAACAGAACCGGTTTTTAAGGCCGCGTAGCCAAGAAAGTATCGGAATCTTGCGCCTGTGCTTGCTGACCTTGGTATGTCGATTCAACTGTCGCAGCGGCCTCGGCTGTTCGGCGTGCGAGCTTAGGTCTACGTAGCCTTTTGGATGGATTGGTGTTCAAGTGGGCACATACTCGTTGTTACATGACCTGATTTGAACAGGAGCTTTATTACAGCTCTCGAAATGACAGGCTTGGCAGGACTAGCGGCTAGACAGAGATAGAGCTCAATTTTTGGAATACTGTGTGCAGGTGCAAGGGTATTACGCAAGCTATATATTAATATATAGTATTTAGACCCTAAAGTGTATCGATTCTACGAAGCAAAACCACCGGGAGAACGTCGGAGGATTTTTCTTTTTCTTTTTAGTTTTATTTATATTTATTAGATCCGGAGACTATTGTCCACAAATGGAAGTACTATACATATCGGTTATCGTCGAATTCTCGTTCTAGGTCAATAGTCGTTCCCACGAGATACCACCTCTTTACAAGTTGGTCGCAGAAGAATTGTCTGGGGAATAGTAAGTGATTGGAATTACTGAATTATGTATATAAAAATCATGAGGGGGGATTCTTACATGTTCGTATTGCGCTGTGTAAGATCCCTTAATATCGCAAAGAGGCGGGTAGGCTTCCACTATACCACTTGTAACGAGGTTATTCAGGCCAAGAAGGTAGCGTTCCTGTCCAAGGCGATCGAGATATCTCCGGCAAAATGGAAGCGTACCAAAGTTCTTATTAATCACACTTAACAAGGACTTTGCAGACGGCAATCGCAAGGGCACGGTGCTAGTATCAATATCTGATCTTTTAGCATAATGTGAAACCTCGAGCTAACGTATCCACTTTTGGTCAGTATAGTAATTGAGAGGAACGGATTTGGGTTTTGTTTAATGGTTTTGCCATACATCGTCATGAACTAAACCACGTCCCGTGGACCCGAAAGTTTCGATTGCGAAAACTTCGCCTGTAGACAGAGTATAGTTTAGCATTAGTTTACGGGTTTGAACCAATGTATTAATCGCAATTGCTGAACTCGCCTTCTTCCATCTTGGTCTGGTCACCACCTTTCACGATTGGGACGCTCTTTCCGCCATGAATTTGATAAGGGTTGATACTATGTCCATTAAGATTTCGGATAGCCTTAACGGGATACGTTACACCTCCAATTTCAACTTCGTAGCTCTCCATGACTTCCTGAATAGCGGATCCGATATCACAGACCCTCACATCGATACCAGCTTCCTAGGGAAAGTCAGTAGAGCGCCTTATAGTGTAGGGAAAGCGAGAAGAGAATCCAGCATACTCTGACTCCAGTATCGGTTGCGTCTTTAACGGCAGCCAAAAGATTATCATATGTAGGGTCAAATGCGACTGTAAATGCGCTATCAACGATTTTCCCATTTACATGGACTCCAAAGTCAACTTTCATGACATCCTTTTCCCCGACAACTGGTTGAGAGAGGGTGTTAGCCATGCCTCCCACGTCGCTTGTTCTTTTCATAAACAGAGTGCCCTTACTCATTTTGTTTCCGGCGTTTGGGGTATAGTGAGCGGCACAGTTGTTGATAGAAAGTCCTGTCGGGAAGCCCATACCCGCGATGAGGCCATCTCCTTCCGTTAATCCATTGTGTCCAGAAAGCGCCCTCACCGAATCTTCAATGTTATTCGCAATATCTGTGAGGGCCATGCCGGGTTTAATCATTTTTTTAGCGTACTGTCGAACTTGACGATGGATCTCCGCACCCTGTCGAAAATCTTGATGTGTATCATTATTGATTCTATCGAGGTGTCGTTTTTCTTCATTCGTTGTCCGGGATAGATTGTCGTCTTTGTATTCCACACATTCACCTTCGGGGTATACTCGACTCGGGAACAGGCTCGAGAGAAGGATTCGGGGAGGATCGGATTGAGTGGTTGGGACAGGGACACCCTTCTTCTTAGGCTTCTTCTTCTTCTTCTTCTTCTTCTTCCCAGGCGTGCCGCCGGTGTCTACTTCGATTACAACAGAGGCAATTATTAAATATTCGATTAAAAAAGCGCGGGAAATGGTATGCGGAGTACCGTTAAAAGGAGCAATCCATTTGTTTTCTTACCTCCTCCGTTTGTAATAGCCGCTGGATCTTCGGGTTCGTCGTCAGATTCGGGAGCGTTGTCTTCAGCTTCGACATCCTCGAGTTTAGTTTTCAAGAATTCTTTAGAAAGCGATGCTTCCAAGCTATTGATAGCTGTGATGCCAGCACCTAAACATGCAAAGGTGGTCGTGGAGTTTAGTACATGAGTTTGAAGAAGTCTAGTCTATGGGCTCGGCTTTATACCTTGACTTTCCTGTGGTGTGTCAGGCATGCTTTGAGGATGAGATAAAGACACGGTACTATTTCTAATCATAAGACCCTTGTCGTAGATTCAAATACCGGTGAGGCTTGTGATCAACTTCAGTACTTACATGGCTATATGTGTGTATACTACGATATCGATCTTGCACTTGCTGGCCGTATGATGTTGTAATAATAAGTTGATACAATGAAAAATGAGCCGGATGTCCGAATCGGGTAAGCCCCCCCAGTCCTCGAAACGAAAAAACAGGCCGGGAAAATTGAATTGAAACCACACAGACGCACCTCCCCCCACCAACCAATCAGCCCACCCGCCCTTTCATCTTCTCAATACCTGACCTACCTGACCTCTTCTTCCTCGGTTGTCTTTGCTCTACCATCAATCCGCTCTACCTCGTACATACCTTCAGTGAGTCCCTCCCATATTCTCTTTATAGAACTCAGTCTCCTAATATTGACTACCATCAGTTTCCCAACCGTCTCATCTACATTTGTCAACATGGCTCCTCCTGCTTTTTCCGATATCGCCAAACCAAGTTTGGATGTAGGTTAAAGCGAAAATCCTCTCTACAAAAAGTATGTCACTAATCAGTTCACGCAGCTCCTGAATAAGGATTTTTACCATACCGCTGCGGGTAATCGCTGCATACAAAACCCTACGTTTATCCGATTAGACATTGACTCGCACTGGATTTTCTATAGCCACTCTGGAAGTAAAATCGAAAGCGCCAAACGGCGTTGCCTTCACTGTCAAAGGGAAGAGTGATCATAAGAGCGGGATCAATGGACAGGTTTGGCATCCAAATCTCTATGACTATTCTCCCATTCTTTTTGCTAAGCTGCGTTTGAAAATCAAATAGCTCGAGGCCAAGTACACAGATAAGCCAACCGGTATGAACATAACCCCAACCAGGATATTCTTTGGGCGGACAATTTCTTATTCCTATATTTCAATTGCACCCATGATACAGGTCTTACCTTGACGCAGGCATGGACTACTTTCAATGCCCTTGACACGAAGGTTGAGCTTGACAATACCATTGCAAATGGTCTTAAGGCCGAGGTCCTCACCCAGTTTCTCCCCGCTTCCAAGAACACTGGAGCGAAGTTGAACCTCCACTTCCGCCAACCAAATTTCCATGGCAGAGCCTTTTTCGATCTTTTGAAGGGACCTACCTTCAATGGTGACCTTACCGTTGGTCACGAAGGATTCCTGGTTGGGGCAGAGGTCGGATACGATGTCACTAGCGCCAAAATCACTCGCTACGCAGCTGGCCTAGGGTATTCTGTACCCGAATACACCGCTGCTATCACTGCTAGCAACAACCTCAGCGTCTTCTCCGCCAGCTATTACCACAAAGTGAACTCTCAAGTCGAAGCTGGCGCTAAGACTACATGGGACGCGAAAGGCACCTCCGCTGTTAGTCTCGAGGTTGGAAGCAAATATAAGCTTGATTCCCTAGCTTTTGTCAAGGTAACTCTCTTTCCCCTCTTATATCAATGTATGGTACGGCGGTTATTTACACTAGTACTAATACTTTTACTTTATAGGCAAAAATCAACAATGCGGGCATAGCAGCTCTAGCCTATAACCAAGTCCTAAGGCCCGGTGTTACAATCGGCCTAGGTGTTTCAATCGAAACCCAACGGCTCAACGAGTCTGCACACAAGGTAAGCTCCTAAAATCAGAGTAGACCTAGACCCGGTTCGCTATGCCCTGACAACTGACATTATCGAAAATTATAGTTCGGTGCATCTTTTACCTTCGAAGGTTAAACTATATCGGTATCCTTGCTGATGTTTTAATCTGTGCGAAAACCCATCAAATTATTTAGAAAATAACTCTTAGAAAGCCCCCTCTGCTTCTTCTTCTTCTTCTCCTTCTTCTTCTTCCTTTTTGTAAAATCCAAAAGATATTCGAAAACAGGTCTCAGAGTCCGAACCCCCATAACGAAAGTATTGTGCGATCCGAATTCTCTCCCGTAAGAAAATACTGAAAGACCAAGCTTCAACTGAATCCCAGAGGATGGCGAGCCAAGTCTTTTCTCGACACCTGGTGATTCGTAAAGTTATGCCTTCGCCAGCAAGGACTCATGACAGGCATAAGCACTGTGAGGGGGGCGAGGGGATTTAAGACCCAACCAAGCGCCTATACTGCTGCCTACGAGGTTGGTTAAAATGGCGGATTTATTGGCGAACTAGACTATACACGATCATCATAGTCAGTGCTGATCTCCGTTACCAACCACCTGCCCAGAACACCGACTAAAAGGATGCAGGTCCCAACCGCAACTGCCCTTAAACAGAAATCCGATACATCCGAATAATTTGTCTTGCCAATAGGCTTGTATGCTCCTGAGCCCTTTCTAAACCGTTCTTGATAGATATAATGCTGTCTGTACTTCTCGTCCCAATTAAACCGAGATGAACGTGGTGTACTAGCCTGATCATCCAATTTGATGGGCCTATCTCGATAGTACGATGGGGGTGGGCCTTGTGGGCTCACCGGCCTCTTCGATAGTCCACCCGCTTCACGTCCACCAACTGGCCCACGCTGGCCGTGGTGACGCCTGTCGCTCTTTGAGCGAGACACCTTCAAGGAACTATCATATGATGTTTTGGAGACAGAGCCAGAAAGAATTCTATAAGCATGTGATATTTCGACAAATCGATCGTTTGCTGTTGGGTCGCCCTGGTTTCGGTCGGGGTGGTGAAGCTTCGAAAGTTCGTAGTATTTACTAGGTTTCTCAAACATTAGTTAACAGGTAGTCCTTAAGCACGATAGTATACACCCACAAAGGATGCTTCTGAGATAACCTACCGCTTAATCTCAGATGGACTAGAGAAGGGGGGTAGTCCTAAGGTATCATAAAGAGACTTTTGGTGTCCATAATCAGAGTTGCGATGCTGTGCACGGGGTGAGGGGTAGCGGTGGATACACCGAGCATGGTGACTGTCGACGTCGAGGGTTTTGTTCAGTACGGCTGGGGCTTTCCCGGCGTGGAGTAGAGCAAAACCGCAGCTCGGCAGCCGTATTCGAAATCGCAAAGCTGCCATGCCATGGTTTTTTTATCTTCTTCTCTGCTTCGATCCCGAAGTTTTGTCTGAGGCTTCCATGGATTGGTCGGGTATAAGCGTGCATACATTATCTGATATAGGGACTCCCAGCAGCCCAGCATTAGCGACACCCTGATTTTAATCACGTGATGCCAAGTTTACCTATAAATACTTACTTCAGCGAATTAAGTACTTAGATAAGAAGAACGAATCCGTATTCTTCATCACCAACAAATAGCCCTTCTCGTTCCCCAAACAACCTTCTTACATACTACTTAAGTAACTATTGCAAGTACATAGTACTAAATACTACTTCCCAGTCTTGACTTACCGTTGGGACATTAGCACTCCAAGAGCCACCCGTCTGCAAAATGACCAGAGGAAACCAGAGGGAAAAGGCCAGGGAAAAGAACCTCAAAGCACAGTCCGGCCAGGTAAGACTTCCCACAATGTCAAAGTTGGGGCTGATTTTCTCTAACTTCACTCCGACCATTTAGAAGAAAAAAAACTCAGTAAGCTTGAAGAAGTCCGGGATATCTTCTGCTACATCATAAACTTACAGCTCTAGGTCAGCGGATCTGAGTATCAGCGCCAGAAGGAAGCCACTGCCGAGATAATGCGCCAGAAGCAAGCAAAAGGTTCGCCCTGTTACAAAAAATAATAATGAACAGTATCACATTACATTTGCGCTAATCTATATGCCTGTGTTGGCAGCGTTGGCCGATAAACAAGCTAAGGAGGGGGGGTCCTCAAGTAGCAAAACATAACCAAACATCCTGGAATGGTGTTCGCAAAACAACATTTAGACGATGCAATCTCGATTCCTAGCGAGTATCATTTCTCTAAAAAAAAATTAAAAAATAAAAAAGAAGAAAAAGAAACGACATTCCTAGTTAATTGACTAAAACCCGATATCGATAACTGATCCATTACGTTTAAGAAAATTTTAAATACTGCTAGCTTGTCGAGAGCTCTGTTGAGTTCTGTATATTGGAAACAGGGCCCTTTGTTGCGGCGATAGCATCGATGAGGCTAGAAGTGAACTTGAATGCTTCATCGTTGATAGAGTTGAGGTTGACACGCCCCAATACCTGGTTTTTTGTATCCTCGACCTGGCTTGCAATGTTCCGACGATTCGCTGCTTCTGTTCTCCAGAATTCGGAGATGTCGTTCAGGTTCGATTCATTTCTCGTCGTTGTGCTCTTCACAAAAAGGCTAGTCCGAACGTGGCTCACTCCAACATCGAGAGATTTGGACAAGGCTTCAATCTTTTCCAAATCCGAAACCCCACTGAAGCCATACCGGCCTGTAGCAGTCATATAAATTACGACTCCAAGCATACAGTTGATGGTGGCGATCGCTAAGCCTCTATATGTGAGTAGCCGCCAATGGTACCAGTTAATATCTTGAGTTGAAGTAGCCTGTGTATTTTGCAAAAGGTCATGGCTGTATAGTAAAACGAATTCCCCTAAAGCAACCCCTAATCCAGCCATGGTAGCAGAGATCCGGAATGACCTGGCAGTCTTGGAAGACAAGGAGGATGTAACCAATCCGAGAACAGCAATGTTCACAATATGAGGGGCCGCAATTGTTGGAGCACTGTAAAATAAATAACTAGAGGGGTCCGAAATTGAGCACCAAGCACATTCAGTCAAGGGTTTGGGGCCATGTGCAGCATAGAGGAGACGACCCTCCCTTGTTTTGAGCGTGTTTAGTAGTACTACATCGGTACTTGAGAGGCCCTGTAGCCCTTCTCGGAGCCGTAGATTTTCAAGTCTACGCAGGAGAACATCGTTAGGCGTCAGAAGAAGTCGACTCTCCGTCGCCTTGATGATATTTTGGCTTTGAAAGTAGGATAACGAAGAGGCAAGTGCGAGGAATATGGTAAGCGTTAAAATATTCAGACTCAATCTTGTCTGAGGGTCAAGAGTTCGTGTCGATGTTTTCCGCACATTCACGGACCGGATAATCGCGATAAGTTTAGGAATGAAAATCGGTCCAAAGAGGAATGCGGCCGTCTGAAGTCTAAGGTGTAGCGATGGTTAGTTTTGCTAGATAGGTACCTAAGTACTTACTTAAAAGCCAAGTACCTAGGTATATACACTACTTAAGAGGGGGGTAGCTTACGTCGTCCATGAAACCATATCTGCTGCTTGCCTGGCTTGGTCCTCTAAGATGACATATATACCTATCCGGCACTGATACTTTGAGCAGCCCTCGTTTGCTGTGTAGTTGACAACAATTGGTAACAAGGCAGGACAGGTACTTGCTCACTTAAACAGAATGCGGGTGGAGTTAGCGTGTCCTTTCTGCCATGTCGTCATGGTTTTAGCTTAGCTGCATGTAATTGGTATGAGGGAAAAAAACCACTCTCCAAGGAATCCGATTCGAATTGTTCTCCCCCAAATATAAATTTAAAACCCGACAAAAATCAAAAAAATTAAAAATTGTTTAAAAAAATTTCAAAAAAAGGAAAGGGAATAGGAAGGAAGGAAAGATACTCCGCCAGACTAGCCAGAGTCCGTATTAATATTCTCAATTGCAGTGTAAGTCTCCCACGTCGATGATTAATGTAAGCAAGGTGCGTCCGACTCATCAATTGCTAACCTCTTATCGATTGCTTTCCAGTATAGTAGAGAGCAATGGCTGACCCGACACACCCGAACGGGCCATCGAAGCGGCAGGAGCCTGAGCGGTGGGATAACGCAGATGAGCCGGACGCAAAGAAGTTTAAAGGAGACAATTCAAATTCCTCAGACACGGAAGGACCCGAAACTAAGCTCAAGCTAGCCTCGGAGAAAGAAGGGATCCCACCGCCTCAAAACGGCCAGAGCCTGGTCCCCAAGGGCTATAGCATGAACCCTCCTCCTACAGACCGTTCGGTTCGGGTCTATGCTGATGGTGTTTTCGACCTTTTCCATCTTGGGTGAGTACTTATATACGCGTATAAGTCCACTAGCACTGTTAATTTTGGTGTATATGACCCGACACCATCATAGGCATATGCGACAGCTCGAACAGGCGAAGAAAGCCTTTCCGAACACCTACCTCCTTGTCGGGATCCCCAACGATATAGAAACCCACAAAAGAAAGGGCTTGACTGTCCTGACTGATAAAGAGAGAGCGGAGACTTTGCGGCATTGTAAATGGGTGGATGAAGTCATCGAGGACGCCCCTTGGATAGTAACCCCCAGTTTTCTGGAGAAACACGCTATCGATTACGTTGCGCACGATGACGAGCCCTATGCCGGAGCTGACACGGACGATATATATAAACCTTGCAAAGAGGCAGGGAAGTTTCTGGTCACCCAACGGACGGAAGGAATTTCAACGACGTACATTATAACAAAGTCCGCTACATCCAACCTTACCTGTCCGCTGTCTTGGGTCCTCTCGCTAACATGTCCGAGATATGCAGGATAGTACGGGATTATGACAAATATATTACAAGGCAGCTGAGAAGAGGCACCCCGCGGCAGGATCTCAATGTATCATGGTTGAAGAAAAACGAGCTTGACATAAAACGGCATGCGGTTGAACTCCGCGATTCCATCAAAACAAATTGGACAACCACGGGAAGAGAACTAAGGGGTGAAATTGGAAAATTCTGGTCGCCGCAGCCGCAAACTCTCCCCGCACTTTCGATCCCTGATAATGCTACTAGCTCTAGCATCGACCAGATTGACATCGGACGTTCCGCATCCCCGCATACAGATTTTGCCACCGGATACTCTCTAGGGCTCATAGGAGGTGTTCGATCCTGGGTAAAACAGTCATTACTATAGCAAGGAGGATTTTATCTATCAGGCTAACTTCAATTTATAGATGCAGGTACGATCGAGCAGTAATCGTGGGTCTAAAGCGACGTCCGCCGAAAACTCGGACCAAAGCGACGAAGAGGACCTCACTAGAAAATCAATTTCTCCTACTCGAGAGCAAATGGATCAAACAATATAGTCTGTGGGAGCCCCTTGATCATGCTGAATCTCAAATTTAGTGGGTTCACCCGCCATCGTCTATTGCTTCGCACTCTTCAGCTACCAAGAAGTATTCCACTTCATTTCTTCTCGACGTCGACTCTCTCTCTCTTATTTTTTTTCTTTCCCCCCCAATAACAGGTCCTTCTGCGTGCCACTACAGGCCCATAATAGAGGCAACTATGTAATACTGGGCTTCAAGAGTGCAAATATAAATTTTGGTTGTTGTGCGCAACCATTGTGGAATATCAACTGCTGCTGTAACATGTAAGCTTGCCTCTGGCGTGGCGGTTTCCCTGCATGCACTGAGGTAAGCAATCTGTGCCAAGAGTTCGCAGGGCAGGTGTTGTGTGAAAATCCCATCCAAGGATTTTTTTCGCACCATCCATCATAAAAAACCATCCTGAGCGACAACCCCCAAAATTACAATCCACAACCAGAAATGTCAACTGCTATTCAAAATAAACGCTCACGTAAAAGGCCTAGGATTCAAACAGATCCGGCGGTCAGTCGAACCTCCTCAACCCAGCTTAGATAGTACTAATATAACATTCGCATTTAACATGTCCACAGGAAGCTACCAATACCACCGACTCTAAAATGTCCCTAAAAGAAGCAGAAGATGCAGCGAAAACCCCCATTGCTGAAAAATCTGGCGTCATATACCTTGGCCGCATACCCCACGGTTTCTACGAGGATGAGATGCGCGCCTATTTCTCACAGTTCGGAACAATAGACCGCCTGAGGCTTTGCCGAAATAAAGCAACTGGGAAATCCAAACATTACGCTTTCATACAATTCTCATCAGTGGAGGTTGCGCGCATTGTGGCTGAGACTATGAACAACTATCTGCTTTATGGACATATATTAAAATGCAAGCTACTTGCGGAATGCGAGTGTGATGAGAATATGTGGATTGGCGCGAATAGGAAATGGAAAGTTGCGCCGCTCGCCAAAATACGCCGACTCAGGCACGAACGCAGGAGGCCCCCAGAGGTTTGGAACCAGCTTCAAAGGAAAGAAAACAGACGGAGGTTAAGCAAAGTTAAAAGATGGGAGACGGCGGGCATATCTTATTCCTTGGGATGATTAGGTAGATCCGAAGGTTTGATGTAACACTATCGAATTGGGCCCATGGAGCCAGATAATTTCTATGTACAGTAGCCTGCTTAATGAACAACCAAAGCGGAATGAGAGGATGTGACATTCTTTTATCCTCCGGCCTTATATTACGCGATTGTTGGTCAATCGGCTTGGTCCTAACCACGTTGACACCAGAGCCGCGACGGCGGCAGTACAAGCACCCCACACATTAACACTCACACTACCCCGGGGAGCTTGTGGGAAACACAACCCCCATTCTACATAATCTGGTACCCATCCATTTGGAAGCCAAAACACCGGTTCTCTACGGTGCCAAAACTGTATAAAAAAACCTAATCCTGAGAAGAGTAGCCAGCGGGTAGTCGAGATGGCCTGGCTAAACCTCATCTTGTGGGTGTCCACGATTTCAGCTAGATGCTAGGTGATCAGAAAAGGTGACATAGCTTGGGAATGAGATAAAAGAAACGGAAGCCTGGCTTACACAACTTTTCGGACTCAGCAGCTCTTCTGTCATGTTCCCGCCTTAGTTTCGCCCACTTCGCAAACTCATCTTGGCTACTTATAGTGGCCATTTCTTTTCGGATCCTCAAAATCTCTGCTTGCTGTTGTCGAAGCTTTTTAGCATCGGCCGACGCTCTCGTTGGTATGATTCGTGTATACGTTTCCCAAATCTAGCTTTGTCAATTAGCAACGATCCAAGCTATATCAAGGTATACACACACACACCGCTGGAGTCAAGCTCACAAATATGCTTGTCACTTGCCACCCGATTGCGAGCAGCAGACTAGTTATTAGTAGATGCGACATCGTGGTGATAGTTGGTAGATAAATATACGTCGGAGTCTGGTTACAAAGTAGAGAGGACAAAGTACTTAACACTGTAATGTAAACAACACAGATCCACTTACAGGCTATTTTAACCTATCCCAATGGTTACCACCCCTTTGCATAGATACCCTACTACACTAATACTTTGGCATAACAAAACATATTATAAAATATAAGTAAACATAATTTGTAATCTAAATTTCGAATTCTAAAAGAAGATAATTAAAATTATTGTTACAATAGCTGGGCGGAATTTACAAGATCTGTTAGCAATCATGGTTCGGGAGTACTTAGAGAAATGGTAGCCGGAAAGATCCAACAAAAGCAACACATTGCAGTAGCAGAGATTGATAATCAAATGGTAATGAATCATTAATAAACTACTAATTAATCACTAATCAATTACAAATCAATCACCACAATCATCAAAAAAAAAAAAAAGAAATACATTATTATAATATTATTGGATAAAATATTTTATCATCTTACTCCATTATACTTTATTTGCTGAGCAGGTTATGTTAACAGAAAGGCACGCAACAAATAAATCCTTTTAGATAAAAAAATGATATTAAGAGTCAAAAACTCTACAAACACAAAAAAAAACTCTCAACAAAGCATTTTGGATAAATTAAAAAGAATTATAAATATAAAACAGATTAAACAAGATTATTTTAAACCTTCCCATAAATACCTCCTATAAACTCTTTTATTAAAAAATCCAAACTATTCTGGAAAAACTCCTCTATACTTCCTAAAAAATCAATTAGATTTAAAAAATAATCAAAAGATTCCATCTGTCACGGCCCAGCCATATCAACTAACCCGATTAGGAGATATGATTTGGTGTGATAAACATACTTCTTGTTTCTACTTTTCTTTATCTTACAAATGTTATTTTTATTATAATTATTTGGAATCTCTAAAATAAGAATTTGTACGCCTATTTTTTGCCTTATGTATAAATGTGTTGTTCTATAATATATTCTATTTGTTTGATTAGTGGAAATGTTTGGTACTGGTTTGTTAGTTTATGTATTGTTTGATGTTAAGGTTAAAAGTGATTTTATATAATTTTAGATAATTTTACTTATTAATTAGATTACTTAAGATAATATAAGATTAGATACTTCTGTCTATATTTGTATATAAACTTTATTATATATTTAAAGATTTTTAAATAATAATAGTTTTTGGTTTATTTTAAAACTCCATTAATTAATTTATTAATTTAATTTTATAAATTATTTAAATGGTATTTAATTTTATAACTTTATATTATGTTATATTTTCTATTTATATAATTTTATATCTTTATTTTAAATATTATATTATTTTTTAAAAAATTTGAATATATAAAATTAAGAAATAAAATAGAATATTAAATTATTTTAAAAAATTTTGTTAAAAAATCTTAAAATAAGTGTAATATTTTAACCAATTTAATTTTTAGAAGGAAAATAATATATATTAAAAAGTTACAATCTATTAGATATAAATATAAATTATGAAAGTCAAAAAGATTTTTACAATCCTTTTAAAATTTTAGTATAACTTATAAATCAAAGAATAATTAGATATATTATAATATAAACTAAATTATTAGCAAATTAAATAAATTTTAATTTTAAATTATAAAGTAGAATTAATATCAAAAAAATCAAAAAATTTATTAAAGTTTATAAACCATTAGAATTTTAAAATAAAATTACAATAATTGAATTAAATATTCAAGTATAATTTATAGAAAGACTATAAAAAGATATACGCAATAAATATATAAAAAAATTTAATAT